TTTCTGCTCAGAATGTAAACTGTTTGCTGTGATCGTTATTTCTTCTGTACAGCCCAGTGTTTGGAGTTTTTAGGGCAAGTTTGATTACACTGTGATGATCATGGTGAAAAATAAGAAATACTGGGTTATGGACTGTACTCTGGAAGAGGAAGAAAGACCAGAAGGAAAATGGTAGTTGGAGGAGAGTATAGCAATCCCATTATTAAACCACTTGCTGTACTTCTTTGAGCCTGTCCTGTAGTCACTGACTTAGCTTTCTTCCCATATCTTTTAGCTGCATTTTAATGTTTTTAGCAGTACATATTCATTATGCTTATTAATTATGCATATCAGTGGGGTTAGTGATCTCCCCATACATGGATAGAATAATGTACTTTGATAAAATCCAGCCTCCTTCTATGTACCACAACTCCTTCCCCTCAATCTCTTAATAAAACAATGGTACCTCAGTTCATAAACTTAATTCTTTCCATGAGAACCATTGTCCAGTTTGATTTGGAACCAGAAACGTGGAAAGAATCGTTTGTGAACTGACACACCACTGTCACTCTTCTACTTTCCGGTTCATGTACTCTGTGATAGCAGATGTGAGAACTTAGCTGTCTGCGTCTGCTTCATGCCATTTAACATAATGTTCTACAGTCCTGTCCGTTTTCCTGCCAGCTGGATTCAGTCCTTGTTTAGGACTGAGTAATACTCAATCTCATATTAAGAAGACTACATTTTCTTTATTCACTCATCTGCTGATGGTGTCTAGCCTGCTTCCATGTCTTAGTCTGAATAGTGCTACTACAAAAGCACACATGGAGCTCTTCACTGTGTTGGCTTCATTTCTTTTGGATATATATATATATATATATATATATATATATATATATATGGAAGTACAATAGATGAATCCTACAGTCTATCTAGAATTTTTCTAGGAGATTCCATACTGTTTTCTAATGGTTATTCTAACTTAGATTGCCATAAACAGTGTTAAAGAGTTTCTCTTACACCACATCTTTATTAGCATTTATATTTTGTCAGTAGCCATTCTTAACTGTCTTGAGATGCTTTCCCATTTTAGTTTCGATTTTCATTTTCTTGATGGCTAATAATGAGCTTTTTTTTTTTTTTTTTTTACATATTCATCAAGCTATTTGTCTTCTTTTGAGAAGTGTCTGTTTAGATCCTTTACCCAGTTTTAAATTAGATTATTTGATTTTTGTTAAGTGACTTCTCTGTTTTTCTGGATATTAACCTTTATCAGATGAAGCACTGGCAAATATTTTCTCCTATGCTATAGTTCGTCTTCATTCTTGATTGTTTGCTGTGCAGAACATTTTCAGTTTGGTATACTCCTGATTGTCAGTTTTGCTTTTGTTAACTCTTCTTTTGGGATTGTAGTCTGAAAATTATTTTCTGTACCAATGTCTTCAGTTGTTTTCTTTATGCTTTATCTGGCTATTCCTGATTTAGGGTCTTAGGGTCTAAGACTTAGGGTATTTGATTTATCTTACTGATTTTTGCACTGTTTGAGATATAATGATCAACTTTCAATGTTCTGCACCATTTATTGAAGAGGCTTTTGTTCCACATTCATATTTTGGAAGCTTTTGTGAAGAATCATTTAGCTGTAGATGTACAGGTCCATGTCTGTGACCTCCATTCTTTTCTAGATGTCTATGTTGGTATTTAAGCCCATATTGTATGGTTTTGATTACTGTGGTTTTGTAGTATCTTCATATTCTGAAGTCAGATACTGTGATGCTACCAAGTTTATTCTTGTTCAAAGTTTCTTTCAGCTTTCCCCGAGTTATCTTTCTAGTTTCTTTACACTTTCCTGGGACACTGAGCTTCCATCCTACTTAAACTAGTCTGTTTTATTTTCCATGAACACTTCCATATCTTTCCTATCGCTATGTTTGTAATTCCCTCTATTTAGAATAGTTTCTTCAGGGGCTGGGGATTTAGCTTAGCGGCATAAGCGCCTACCTTGCAAGTAGGCATTCGTGAGTTCCATCCTCGGTACCGGTAAAAACGAAAAAGACAAAAAAAAAAGAATATGTTGCATCCTTGGTAGCAGTTTGACTCCACTGTTTTTACCCTGAGAACATTGTGACTTTCTTAGGAAATTCCTTTGTACATTATGTCTCATGTAATTATAAATACTGTTTTCAATAGATTGACAAAGAATTGGCTAGTGGTGAATACTTTATGAAGGCAAATCAGAAGAAGCGACAGAAAATGGAGGCAATAAAGGTAAGACTGTGTCTTCCTTACAACGGTAATAGCAAGATTCATAGATAATTGAGTTCTCATTCATAAATTGTGTCTTGCTAATGTATTTCTTAATAATGTAGGCTAAACAAGCAGAAGCTCTCAGTAAGAGACAAGAAGAAAGAAATAAAGCATTTATTCCACCTAAAGAAAAGCCAGCTGCAAAACCTAAGGAAGGTAAAGCTCATTTTTACTTCTTGATGTAAATTTATCTGAACCTTTAATCTATCTGAACCTTTTATGTTGACTAAAAAATAACTATCTTTCATCAGTTATCTTAGGATTTCATTATTTTCTATGGCCTAGTTGCAGCTAGTGCTTATTTCAAAGTGTCTCAGAATGGCGGCCCTTCCCAGCCTGTGACTTGTGCATGAGGAGACTCTTTGTTGTGACAGATACAACCTTAGAGCAGTCTGTTGTTTTCATTTTCTGTTTATTTGATCTGTGGCTTATAATTTGTTTTTGTGTTGTTAACAATGATTTCTCATTACTTTGGATTAAAAAAGTAATGTTAGGGGAGTATTAAGACACTTAAGAAAAATTCAGGTCTTCTACATTTCAAGCCTCATTCTTATTTATTCTTTGGCCTTTTCTTTTCTTCTATTAACTCTCGTATTCTTTGTATTAATACCTGCATTCTTCCTAAAGTAACCATCCATGACCAACAGTAGCACACTGAGTGAAAGAAAGGCTACTATCAAAACTGCATATATATAGTTATAGTTATATATAATCTATATATTTAGTTTATATCTATATATAGATTTTATATATTTTTATATATATATATAAATATATAAAAATCTATAAAGGCAGGGTGTTTTGCACGTCTTTTTAATCCGAGTGCTTGGGAGGCCAAGGCAGGAGGATGTCTACAAGTTCAAGGCCAGCCTGAACTGCATAGTGAAACCCTGTCTCAGAAAGACCCAAAAAAAAAAAAAAAAGTATATATATATTACTGTTCAAACCATATTTGCATACTTTCATTGCCTTTTTTCTTAGGCATTGTGTAGATGGTTTGGCTTTGTGAGGAAAACCTCGAGATACTCTAAAATTACTGTCTATTTTACTAAAATCTTGTTAAATAGTAATTATTGAACTTAATAAGTTTTTGTTGCATTCTTAGATGCAGAAGATTTGAATGTGTAGCTTCATGATTAGCTCATTAAAATTACTGAAATTAGGAAAAGCTATCTTTCATGAAAATAATTTTACTATGCAAGATGAAAAATTGGCACACCAATCTATATTCTAAAGTTGTAAAATTGGAAGAGAATATAAATGAAAATTACCTAATCTCAAGTAGTATTTAAGAAAATATAACTGATATTAATTGCTAAACTGTCAAATAGTTTTCATGAGTTCTTTCTTATGCACTAAAATATATGGTATATGTGAAGTATTTTACTTTATGGTTTGTTTTCTTTTAGTTTAAAGAAATTTCTTACTTTCCTTTAGATAAGCGCTTTACATTTTATAACCTTGAATTGATTGAAATAGTTCTGAAATTACTCTGTTAAACACTTGATTTTCATATGGGATGTCACTATGTGGCCCAGGCTGGCTCTGCATTTGTGATCATCCTGCCTCAGCCTCTTTGATAGCTGAGATTATAGATATATATGACACTGCGCCCAGCTAAACACATATTCTTTATGTTTTGACTAAAAAATTATTTATGTTTTTTAACTTTTTTAGCTCCCACTGAAACTAAAATTGATGTGGCTACCATTAAGGAAAAGGTTAAAAAAGCAAAGAACAAGAAACTTGGAGCTCTTACAGATGAAGAAGTTAAGCTTAAGCTGGAAGTGGATGAAAAGAAAAAGAAGAAGAAGAAGTAACATTAAAAAAACCAGACTTTGAACTATTAATTTATGAATCTATCTCCTTTTATAAAGGATTTTGAGAAACCAGGGCATTAGCTGCCCTATAACACTCTGATGACCTTTTTTCCAAGTTTCATTTGTTCATAACACAATACTTTTAAAATGTAAATTATTCTATTTTGATGTGTGTGCTGAGAAATTTTGTGCTACAAAGTGGTATACATGTCATGTATATTGTATAACTAGTTCCAGGCAGGTTTTACTGGCACACAATTTTAGAGTAACTTTCCTTTCGAATTTTTATATAGATGTGAATGTGAGTATTATAATTATGCATTGAATCCAAAGTATGCCTGAAGCTGTTGATTCCCGTTTGTGTACAATGATGTCCCAGTATTTGGTTTTGAGGAAAATAAATGCAGTATTTTCAGTGCTTTCTCTCTCCTTTTCTTAATGATAAGTGGATATTTGGTTTAGCTCTTCTTACAGTTTTGTATTTCATTACAAGGTTAAACAGCTCATAAGCTGACCAGGCCACTGAAATCTCTTGGTTATAATTCTGTTCTCAGTTTAGGTAAGTGGTCAGGAGTAAAGTATCAAATTGCAAGAGAGCAGAAAAAAATTAGGCACCCAAGAATTGAAGCTAAACTAGCGAAATCTAAGAAATTTCTAATTTTCGAAGGACAACAGAGTTAGAGTCACCTGTATCCGTGATGGCTAAAGCCTTTCAGAGCTTTCAGTGATACAAAGCCTGCTAGGGCATGTGTGCCCTAGGTTCACTACCACTGATGTATACCAGCTTTCTGTCTGGGAAGGTAAAACAAGCTGGTTCACTTACTGAACATCATGGCAACCTAAAGACAATGCTGCTTCATAGAAAAGTGGAAAGGAAAGATGAGCTGTCCTGTATTAGGAAGTTGAACAGTTTTTGAGTGACACTTTATTGCAACATATTGTGTTCTGACACATTTTAAAATGGAAATTAGAAGTACACCAAAGGTTACTGTTTTTTTTGAAGCCTTCATTGCCTAAGGTTCTGTTTTTAGAATGCCTGTAACAACAGAACATAATTAAATGTTTTCAAATTCTTGTCCTTTGAATTTTTCCTAGTAACATGCATTTCATGCAAAAATGCAAAAAAATTTCAATCTTGGACATAAATTTCTCTATTATATTATTCCAAAAGAACTAAATTAGGGTATTTATGCTTTACCCAAAGGGTAATTATAACAGACAGTAGTATAATTGGTGGATTAACAATAAGGAAGAGAGATGTGTATCTGTTACGTGAATATAGGGGCCAGTTTGGAAACACAGTAGAGTAGTAACCTGTGAAATAAACAGAGCATTCCGTTAGGCATTGTTTCTCATAGTGTAACATAATCCAATAGCATTTAAGTAGTGTGAAATTCATATACATACGTGTGACATTGTCTCGCTGTGGATTAACTGTAAAATTAAGGAAAATAATGTTTATATATAGGTCAGATTTTTATTTTTAAAAAACCAGTAAATCTTCATGATCATTAACTTTTGGTCACTGAGACATGGTCTCACTGCAGTTCAGGTTGGTCTTGAACTCAGTATAACTTGCAGATACTACATTTAACATTAAATTTAAAATTAAAACAATATCTAAAAATACAAATATTAGAAGAAAATAAATTCTTTGCCAAGAATAATAGTATTTATGGTGAGTCAGTGGTAAAAAAATAGCTTCTCTTCATCCATGCTATTAGGTTATCGGTAGGGCTTTTGGCTTATCAAAAGTCACGTTTATGCCTCTCCTTTCACTGAAGTTTTACATTTTGACTTTCAGAAAATTAGGAAGAAGTAAATTCCTGATGGCTGTTAGTTTTCTTGATACTTTCATTAAGCAGATACTTTTTCTGTATCAGTTGGTATTTAATGTTTATAATACAACCATGTGGCTCTCTGACACTGAGCATTCCTGATTTCATAACGGATTCGAGTTTGTGCTGGATTAATATAAAGTTGTTACTGTAACTCTTTTTGACTTTTGTATCTCCAAAGGTGTTCAATATATTATAGAAGTATATATATGCACCAGTTGAAATCTCATACCACCAGTGTGCCCAGCATACTTTATTTATTTATTTTTTTTAAATTTTTGTCTTTTTGAGAGAGGGTCTCGCTATGCAGTTCAGGCTGGCCTTGGGCTCACTTTTTAGCTCGTGCTGGTTTTGACCTTGCAGTGATATGCCTGCCTCAGCCTCCCAAGTGCTGGGATTATAGGAGACCACCACCAGGCCTGGCTGCCCAGCATGGTTTATAAATCTTGTGTTTACTGAACTAAAAATGGAATTGTGAAAAACATAAAGAAGTTTTTTACTCCAATGCATCTATAATTAGTGATGGGATCCATTAAATAAGTGCTTTTATCTTCTACCCTTATACTTCATAATAAAAGATGGGATAGTTATAAAGTTGCAAATCATAAATCCTATCACTCTGCAAAAAATGGAATGCTTTAAATAAGCCAATTACATAAATCAAGTTCTTTTTGAATAGAAAATAAATAGGATCAATCAGAGTATGGTAAGTCATAAAGTAAGTGGGTGATGAATTTTATATTTTATAAATACGTGCTTTCATTTTGAGCCAAGAGTTTTCATCAAGACTATAGTTTTAAACCCCAGAAGTTCAGAGACTTGTTCACGCTCAGCTTCAAAGATCAAAAGCTAACACCTCAGGATTAGTTTTTTCTTATTATAGTGATGGCATTAATTATCTAGATGGCAGAGGGAAAGCGTGGTTATTTTACCATTTCTCTGAGATGGTACTGTCATGCGCATTTTATTGTAAGGTTGCTAAAGTCACAGTGGTGGAACGACATTGAAGTAGAAGTTGGTATATTGGTGGTAATAGCTAGTTTTAACTCCTGTGATATACTCCTAATTTAGGAAGGAAAAAATTTCATGAATACATATATATATTTATATATTTGTAATGTTAAAAGCAGCATAAAAGAACAATTCTCTGAGAAGAAATTAGTTGCATTGTGGTTTTCTGTTAAGAGTTGTCTTAGATTTATGTGAGTAAAGTAAATAATGGTTAGACTGGGAGAGAAATGATGGCTCAGATAGCCAGTCTAAAAACTGCTTCTATTCGTGGAGTAATGCTAAGAATTCAGTGTTTGCAGACTGGGAAGAAAGGACGGTGATTTAGTAGAATTTGATAGTTTTAGGCCTGAAAGGGACTTTCTACCAAGCAGGATTTTTGCACAGGGAAGCTCAGCCTACTGTCTGTTCTAAGTATCTTAGCTCTGCTGCTCCGAGGAGCTGAGTTTGTTACAGATGTGAACACTGAAGTCACACAGGATTTGCGTAAATGTGGTAACTTAAAGATTCCCCCTCATACCATGGAAAAATAATGGATATCTTAAAAGATACTCTTATTAAAAAGAATACTTCTCTTAAACATGTTAATTTCTAGAATGATAAACTTGGTTTGCTCCTTGATGCCACCTTCCTTGGAAATTGCTATTAGAATAAAACAAATAGTTTTACTTGTAATTCTATGCTAAGTTTCAATCGCATTTTATTGTAGACTTTTGCTTACCACAGAGATTGTCCAAACACGTGTCATTAGTGGAGCAGGCACTGCAGGTGACTCCTTTTTTATAAGGCCAAGTTGGGTAATTGCCTCTGTAAAGCAAAAGACTCTCCATTAGTAGAGATGTATTTCTTTTTTCAGTTGCAATTTACCATGAGTCTTTGACCATATTCAGGACAATAATAAGGTTAAAGTCCAGAGATTTAGAGGGCTGGTAAAATAAGTAGAAAGGGAATGCTAATACTTCTAGGGTTCACTTTATATGCCTGTGTCTGTTAACCTGTCTTACTCTACATCATCTCATTTACTTATGACAACGCTTTCGTAGTAATGGGAAGATTTAAAAGGTTAGTAACTTGCCAAACATCACGGTTCACACAACAGATTCAGAGAAGCCTAGATTTGTCTCCCACCAAGGGTGTGGTCCTCTGGGCCTGATTACTGCATCTAAAAAACTTCCTCTTAGAAGAACTGTCATGATCCTTACTTATTGTCTAGTCTAAATCGCTATAGTTTTTATTAGAGTATTTGGATAGGCATAGGATAATGATTTCGAAAAGAAAACAATGATATGGGAGAAATTTTGATGTGTGATTTATTTTCACATCAAAGATGTAATATGATTAGTAGATAATAGTGGATGCCCAGTGAGCTAAGCACTATTTTAAGCATCCTTGAATGAAATAATTTTCACAGCCCGAGGAGGGATGGTACTGTTATTTATGTATCAGGAGGTTCAGGCAAAGTGTAAATAATTTGCCCAGGTCACTGATTAGAAAGTAATATCTAAACATTTTATATCCACATGAGTATTTTCAAAGTAGTAATGAGAAGCTGTACATTTATTTCAGTGAAGCTGAGATTTGGAATTCTGGTTTTAGAATGCAGCTCTTGGCGTCCTTTGGCAATTTGGTGGAGCACATGAACTCTGAATAGTTGTTTTTTAAATGCATAAAAGACACAGGATTATAAAAGAAGCCGATCAAATTAAAACAGGCGTCAAGCTGAAAAAAGACTGCAATGGAGTAATATGTACTTCTCTATTAGGTATTAAATGAGATCTAGCATGGGCTTTAATAATTTCAAAGTAATAATGAACATAAAGTATATTTTGAGGTATCCATAACAGCAAATGCAATCCAAATATATTTATAGTTATAAGCACTGTTAAAGTGATAGTTATTACTAAAATTCCTATACTCTATGTAGAAGTATTCTAGGACTGATAGGGAAATAGAATTAACTGATGATGTATGCCTAACGCTGTCCATCATACATCAAAACGTATGGATCAGTGTGAATTCTTCAACCATGTGTTACTATGAAGAGCATAAACTCATGCCAGACAACCAGGTGAAGCACAGCTATGGCATTCATTAAGTGCGTGAGTGGCAGGATGCCATGTTTGTGCCACAGTCTTCTTACCTGTCAAAGAAGATGCAGGTGCACCTTTTCATTTCATGGACTTTTATGCAGATAAAGTTATATATGAAGTGCTTAGAACAGTACTCATCACATTGTAAGCATTATATAAAGTATTCATTGTTTTTACAATTACTGAAATCATGGTTGAAGTTTTTTTGTTTGTTTGGAGATGGTCTCAGTATGCAATTCAGGCTAGCCTTGAACTCCCTGGGGAACCCAGGCTGGCCTCAAATTCATGGTGATTCTCTTGCCTCAGTACCCCCAAATGCTGAGATTACAGGCATGTGCCTCCACACTTGTAAATGTCTTACTGTTTTTAGAGAGAGGTTAATTTAGGAACTTACCCTGGTGCATAGTCACATATAAAATGTGCTCCATTGGTAAGACCCTGAAAGCCAGTAACTCTAGGGCAAAATTGAACTGCACAGCCAACCTTGTAACTATCGGCCCAAACAACCTGTAAAGCCAAAAAAAGAACTTTAAATACAGAAATGAGAAATGATGAATATTTGGGTATGATTAGGTCTTCATAAACAGGTATATTCACTCAGGTCATTGAACTCTCTACCAGGTAAATTTTAAGTGCCGAAAATTCTGCTGGTACGAAGATCTGTAGTTACTATTATACCTGTGTGTGTGTGTGTGTGTGTGTGTGTGTGTGTGTGTGTGTGTGTGTATGTGTGTGTGTGTGAGTGAAGTAAATGTAACTTTTGACAGTTACTAGGATGAAGAACTAAAACAGGTAACTTGAGTGATATGCAATAAAGGGCTGATTTAATGGGTGTGGGGGAACATCTCTGACAAGGAGGCTTTCTTGAACAGAGGTGTGAATAATGAGGATAAATGTTGAGGAAACTTGAACAATGAAGATAGTGCAGTTCAAAGGGCCTGAGGTGGAATTTGCTTGTTGAATGCAGAGCACAAGTGGAGGCAGGATGTACTGGGTGGAGGATGGGTCAGGTCAAAGGTGGAGGAACAGATAATGGAGATTCTTGTGGATATCTTTTCATGTCCTAAAAGATCTGTGAGGTAGCTATGAAATAAGCGGGCTGAGAAGAGCAAGGAAAGAGAAAGGTGATTTTGAAAGCTACTTCAGTGGTACAAGAATGCAAGCCTGGTGTCTCACACTTGGGTGTTGGAGAGCTGATCAGATTCAAGTCTCAGCTTATAGAGGTAGCTGAATTTGTTTTTGTTTTGACTGTGGGGTTTGGGGATCCATGAAATACCATTTATTGAGATGGAGAACAGAGTGGTAGGAGCAAGGGCACAAGGTTCTATTCACATATGTGAATTAAGCTGCCTGTTAGATGTTCTGGGGAAGACTGGCCTGGCTGCTGGACTTGGCCATGTGCAGGTGAGAGGACAGGGTTAGGCTGGAAATATAAAGCTGTAAGATATAGCACTAGATGAGATCCCACAGGCAAAATCAGAGACAAAAAAAAAAAAGGTAAATGAAAGCCCTGGATTAAGAAAAAGACCGCCTGGGAACAAGTTAACAAGGCAAATGCAAAAGTAGTGATCGGGGATGTGGGGGGATGTCATAAGCAGAGTGGGCTTCTGTATTCAAAAGATCTTTAGACTTGGTTTAAATCAGTGCTGTTTCATATTTTAGCACCTTTGGTATACTTTTTTCTTACTTTTTGTGTGTATTCTACACTTTCTTTTTGCAGTGGTCCCCCACAAATTTTGTATCTCATCTCTGACCAAGAATTTTTGGGTCATAAAATAAATAAAGCATTTAAAAATCTAATAGCTGGAGGCAAGCCAGCAACTAAATTCACTTTTTAAACAGTGATACCAAATTACATTTTAAGCTACTGTTTTTTACCATATTTTTTTTTTTTTGTCTTTTTCATTTTTATCGGTACCAGGGATGGAACTCACGACTGCCTGCTTGCAAGGCAGGTGCTTATGCCACTGAGCTAAATCCCCAGCCCCTAATTTTTTGACTATCATGACAAGCAAGAGTTGTTTTCAGTTTGGGGGATACAAAGGTGAATGAACTAGAGTCAGAAGGTGGCCTTCATAAAACGTAGACAAAAGCAATCACAATGCCATTGTATAACAGTGGGTTTTTGTTTTGTTTTTTACTTTGGTGAAGGATTCTAAGGGTACATGTGTTATGAGACCCTTCTCTAAGAAAGTACAGTTAACCCAGATCAGGTTTGAAAGTGAAAAGTCTTCCAATAGAGAGCAATACCTGGAGTGACCCCTAGATAGGGAAGATCTGTTTATAGAACTGAAACACTGGCTAGTATCACTGCAGGAACAGATCAAGTTTACTTCAAAAACACAATTTGCTCCCTAGGGAGAGAGGGCAGAGGAAGGAAGAAATAGGAGCTGAGCATGGAGTGCGAGCGTCCCCAAGGTTTGGAAGTGGGTTTTGAGGTAGCAAAGTGGTTAGAGAGCTGGTGGGCAAAGAGCCTCAGCAAGGAAAGCTCCTCTCTGCAGGCGGCCTTCCCTATGGTTGGACATTGGGGGAGCATCTGTTCTGGCTGTTCCTGAACTCCCAGGAAGAGAGGCGCTGTCCTCCTGTGGCAAGGCACAGTCCTAGCTCGCTGCTTCAGACTGTGTGTAACCTGAGGAATTTCCGCCTGCAGCATCTGCAACCTACACAGGCAACGAAGTGTCACAGGCCTTGTCATTCTGAGAGCCTAGCTTTGCAGGGACTAATTGATCCTTGTACTTCAACCTTTATTTTTCAGTCATTTTGATATTAAGTTTCTTGATTTTTATTCACTACATTTCTTTTTTCTTTTTTTCTTTTTTTGGTCTTTTTTCCTTTTTATCAGTACCAGGGATCGAACTCACGACTGCCTGCTTGCAAGGCAGGCGCTTATGCCGCTGAGCTAAATCCCTAGCCCCAATTCACTACATTTCAAAGTGTAAGGCTTTGCTTTAAAATGCAGTTTTCTGAACTCAGACCTATGGAATCAGCTTTGGGACTTGTCCTTGGAGTCTGTATTTCAACAAATTCCCACTCGATTCTTCCGCATACTAACTGTGGTCAACGTTTCTATTTTGGGCTATCACTTTGTCTCATCTTATGTTTTTTAGGCCTTGAAGCACTTTCTCCCATAGTGGTGTATCTCAGGGTATCCTTAATCTTTAGATCTTCCACACACTTCTTCAGAAGTGTTCTAATGTTAGTAATCATTTTATGTTTTAGTTGGTGATCCAGCTTTCCATCACTGTAAAAAAATACCTATAATAAACTCCTCATAAAGAGAGGGCTGATTCTAGCTCATGGCTCTAGATTCAGACCAGAGTTAGTTGTCTCCGTTTCCTTTGGGACTGTACTGAGGCAGGAGCGCATGGTGGAGCAACCTGCTTCATTGGAGCAGCCGGGACATAAAAGAGACAGGAAAAGGCCTGATGTCGCCTGCAAGGGCATCCCGCCCCTGACCCAGCTTCCTCCCAGTAGGTCCCTGATCCTAAGGGTTCCACCGCCCCCTAGTGACACCGTGAGATTGGAAACAAGTGTTCAATGCAGCGGCCTTTAGGGGAACAGTCAAGACCTGAACGAAAACAGTTTTTAAAGTTGGGTTTCGAGTGTATAATTAGCTACAGTTCATTCTTTTTAGTGTACTTTTCTATAAACCTTTACAAAAGCATACAACGGTACACTGTTAAACCATTAAAGATACAAAATATTTCTGTCCCCCTTCCCCAAGTTACCTGGGGCCCTTTGTGATTGGCCCCCATGCACCCCAGCAATCACTGCTGTTTTCTGTCTCTGTAGTTTTGGCATTTCCAGAATGCCATACAAATAGAATCAGTTTAAATGTAGCCTTTTGAATAAGTAAATAAATAAAAGCTTCTCAAGGGTGGAAGTTCTGGGTTAATTTTGAAGTCTGGTGCTACACCTGAGGTCATGCTGCTGCTGTGCCTACTTACTGAATGACCCTGGCTTAGCTTCCTTGTCTATTAAGTGAGGGTACCGACAGCACTAAGTCCACAGGCTTACTTTAAACTTCGTAATGAACTAGTAATAAAGTGCTCAGGAAATGTTTTATTACCTTACTACTAATTTTCTTCCTCTTTAAAACATTGAAAACTATTTTCTTTTTTCTTTTTTTTTGTCTTTTGGAGACAGGGTCTCACTATGCAGTTCAGACTGGCCTTGAGCTCACTTTGTAGCCCAGGCTGGTCTCGAACTCGCAATGATCCTCCTACCTCAGCCTCACGAGTGCTAGGATTACAGGCGTGAACCACCACGCCCGGCTCTTGAAAACTATTTTCTATCAGTTTTCTGTCATATGTTTTGTCTTAACTTTCACATAGCAAAGACCATAATTGTAAAAAATAAATAGTTATCCAATTTTGAGAACTTAGTTTCAATTGTAGTAATGAGCACTTTTATGCAGCATCACGTTTGATCCCCATTATTCTAAGAGTAGATGTGATTTTCTCTGTTTTTAGAGATGAGATTAGCATATAATTCTGGCTGACCATAGGTACTGTGATGACAGTCCATTCTCCAAGCAGGATGTCTTTAAAGTATTTTCTTTTTTCACAAGCCCTCAGAACCAGGAGTGACTCTATCTTTGTAAAGAAAGCACTGAATCAGGGTATCTAGGGGAGGACGAGGGCATCCCTTTCCTCAGCATCTCAGCAGCTTCCCCCTTTTGGTACTCAGATCTCATTCATTATCAGAAACCAGCTTCTCTGGCAGGTGTCACACACTGTAACACTTCAGTAGTGGAACACGTCACATTTACATTGGCTTTGTGAGAGCAGGAGAGTAACAATTTCAGGAGAGTGGGGATGAAAATAGGTTACAGAGATAAAAACAAAAATAAGAAATCTCCACACTGATTTCCATAGCGGTTGTACTAGTTTACATTCCTACCAACAATGTAGGAGAGTTCTTTTTTCTCCACATTCTTCCCAGAATGTTATTTGATTTTCTTGATGATGGCCCTTCTTTTGAAAATCTTTTTGTTTTTCTTTGTCTATGGTTTGTACTCTGCTAATGAGAATATTTTGGCCATTCTTTTAAAATCATGCTACAACAGTATCCTAACCATTGTTATTCTTTAATTATTTTGTTATTAAATTTTGTTTTTATGTTTCCTTTATTAATGTCTACTTGTATTACATTAAAATAAAAACCTCTTAAATACCAAGAATAAGCTGAATAGTGCCACATAGTGGGAAGTCCTAGCACCTGGGTAATCTGCCACCTTGCCCAGATATTTATGTGAAGCTGTTACCCACACTTTGACAGTTCTTTTTTTTTTGTCATACCAGGGATTGAACTCATGACCTTGCGATTGCCAGGCAGGCACTTATGCTGCTGAGCTAAATCCCTGGCCCTGTACCCAAAACTTAGGAAAGCTGAACTGTAGGAACAAAATATGTAATTTGGCTTATATTCCGTATTACTACCCTTAAATTCTTCTCCAATATTAGTTTTTTATTCAATGATGGTAAAGTGTTTAATTAGCATGTCAAGAAGTACACATTTTATGAGGCAATTCATCTGAATTTTTAATATTTATTTACTTATTTACTGTGTCACTGGTGATTAACTCTGAGCCTTTGTATTGAGCTATGTTCTCAGATTTCTATTTTTATTTATTATTTTGAAAGAGGGTCTCACTAAAGCTAGGTTTGAAATTGAGATCTTCCTGCTTCAGTTTTTCATAGTGATGGGATTATAGGCATACCCCACCATCTTAGTTGGATTTATTTATTTATTTTTATTTTGTACAACCTGATGACACTGGTCAAGACTTACAAATAGTTCATTTTTCACAGAAGATGAGGATTAGAGGGGGGTTATAATAACTTTTAATGTAACTTTCCAGCATGACTTTTTGTTTTTTTGATACAGGGTTTTGCTGTGTAGTTCAGGCTGGCCTTGAACTCACTGTGTAGCCCAGGCTGGTCTAAAACTCACAATCCTTTTGCCTCAGCTTCCTGAGTGTGTGCCACCATGCCCAGCTCCAGAATGAGTTTAAAATGGCAGCTGAGTAGTCAAATTTCCCAGCAAGGTTTCTTATAAGGATAAACACAGAGTCTGTCAGAGCTATCAGCTATCAGACCCTTTTTCCAATATGATTGTTTGAAAACTATCTTATGGAAGTGGCCAAACGTTGTTCACTGTTTACTTAGTACAAGTCTTGTCCAGATTTCTAGAAAATGGAGGCTGACATTTTATTGGGATACAATGTCAGAGAAATAGGAATAAGGAAAAATAACGAGATAGATAAGGAGAGACAGGGCTGGCAATGGTCCCTGGTTTTTAGGAGGTGGCCCTAATTAGTGAAAGACATTGGTGTAGATGGATGTGTCCCAGTGCCTGGTAGGTGCAATCCAGAGAAAGTGTCAGCAATGTGAGCAAAGAGAACAGTGCAACTTTCCAGCCAGTGGAAGGTACAAGGATTCACATAGCAAGAGACACATGAATTGATTCTTAAAGAATCAATGAGTGAGAATCTGTTAAATAAAAAAGGAAGAGGATGATAAGTCCAGGAAAAACTAACAAGTTACAGAAGAATGTGTACAATGTGTGTGAGTGATTCTGGTACTTTAGATATATGTCAAAGAGCTCTGAACATCAAATATGTAAAGGTCAGGAGATGTCCATTGACAACAGGCTCCTAGCCCATGCTTATATGTACAAGTTAAGACATGCCACATCCATCATTACAGAGGGTCAACACATGAGGAGGAAACTTAACTTTTTGTCCTATGTGTAAGCTTTGAATCGGCCCTGACTCCCCCAGCCCCAACCTGCTTGCCAGCAGAGGTACTACTGCCTGCAGGAAACTCACCTCTCAGCAGGGAACGTGGCTCAGTACTGAAATTGTCATCAACAAGCACAGGAAAGGAGATAAGACAGGACAAGGTATTTTGCCGGTCCTGGGGACATCTGGAGACACCCAAAAATTTACATGGGACACTTTAAAGATTGCTCACTGAGTGTAAGATTGCCGAGAACTTTGACCATAGATGTTCAATGGGATCTTTCTGGATTCTCTACATCCCTCTAAAAGAGACATATTTCTCTTTGTTCCAAGCAGATGGTCCCATGGTCACGTGCCTGCCTGCATCCAGGCATAATAAGCTCCATGCCACGTTGGCTTTATACAAGCTTGGTAGTCTCTGCTGGGTTTTCTCCCTTTCTCTGTATGTTAGAATATGGGCCTGAGATTTCAGATGCAAATGTCCCAAAATTAACTGAGCTTACTAATAAACTCTCTCTGGAGTACATGAGAAAATTCATTTTCTAAAATTCAGTGCTTTGCATATAGATACTAGAGCTCAAGCTGACTGATCCTAAACTCTTCTCTTTTAAAAGATAATTATATTCTATTGCCCCCTTAGAAGAGGGACCCTCCTGGGAAAGATGTCCAGAGAATCCGTGGGTCTGCTAAGATGTATCTATAGCAAGTTCTTTTTGAATGACTGTGGGTTTTAGCACTCTCCACTGAAGGCATCATTCAGTTATTGCTGTTAACCTACAAGGGAGGTGCTATTATTCACCAGTGAAAAAATGGATCAGAGAGGTTAAGAAGTTGTTTCCTCACTATCATAAGGATGAGTTCACATTCAGATATTGGATATGTTATAAGATCTTATAACATAATATAATGTATGTAAATTATCTAAAAAGATCCAGCACTTAGTGCTGTTTAGATCGATAGGCTTCACATAATACTTCTGTCCATATGGCCAGACTCTTCAAGCCATATTTCCTTTGGTATTAGAGTCTTTCTTATTTATTTTTCTCTTTTGCTTTTCTAGAGTTGAGCATCAAACCCAAAGCCTTGCACATATGGTTATGGATTAAAAACTGGTGGTCAACTTAACATCAGCTGAATTAAATCAGCATGGTGCTGAGTATAGATGGCCCACCTGAGGAAAGTTGCAAGCATAAAAAAAGAGACCTGGAGAGGAAGAGCATAGCATTGTGGGTTTTCCTAAGTATTGTTTGGAGCTGTTGCTTCTCCTGGAGGAGCTTGCCATGAGGGCTTCCCTGATATGAATTCAGCCATTATCATTGGAGGAGCTTGGAACCTTGTTGCTGAGAGTGGCTGTGGTTAATTTTGGAGGAGCTCTTGTCTTTACATTGAGCACTGTTTCCTGGCTCCAGAGGGTGAGATCTGTGCAGTTTAATATTCAGGATTTTTATCACACTGGCTTCCTGATATGTACTTGACTATTTTCATTGTCAGAGGAGCTTAGTACCTAATTGTCGCTGAGGATGACTATGGCACCTTTCAGGGGAGCCCGGGCCTTTATTTTGAGCATTACTTTTTGGCTCCACTACAGAGCCCTCAACCTGCTAGCACAGCCCCTTTACCCCGCTGGCGTAGACTTTCTGGCTTCCACTGCTGACCTTTGGGCCTTTCCAGGGCAGATCCATAAAACAGACTTGTATGAGTCATTGTCTTGGGCTCTCGGACACCAGTTGGACTCGTGGGAGGTATTGTCATGGACTCTAGGTCTTCACTGGACTCACTCAGGACATTGCTGTGGCATCTAGGCCCTCAGCTGGATTTTCTAGATCTTTAGTGTTGGGGACAGATTTCCCGCACTTTCTTTGTACATAATTCTGGGTGACCATCATAAAATAATATTATAAATTCTCTGTCCTGTATGTAATTGTCCTGCTTGCATCCCCTGATTACAACACAAGCCATGCAAGCATTCTACCATGGAACTCCATTTATTATTAAAGTAAGACTGTTATTTTTATTCACATTTTCAGGTGCACTAGCTTATGTATTTCCTTAGTTTGCAGTTCTCTCCTCAACCTTTAAAAGGTAGCTTCAAAAAAAGAAAAAAAAATACAGGCGAGTACTTACCTGAGTATAATGGCCACAGACTTTTCTACATTTCCGGGTACTGAAGTCATAGTCTTTGATTTCATTGTACCAACTTGAGATGGCTGACGATACTGAAAACAGGACTAAAGAACCAGTCCAGATATTTTCTCCCAGTGAATTAAATTTAGGGTGCAGCTTGGACTTCAGACGTGGGTTGTGTTCAAACGCACAATTTTTTGCCCATGCTTTTGCAATTTGGGCTAGTGCTGGATCCCAAGTCTGCAGTGAAAATATTAAAAAACACAGAAGTCAAGAATAGAATCAGTTACTCAACAACGTAACTAGAAGTGAACAAGCGGAACTTCAATAGCAAATGAAGCTTAATAACAAAAATAGAGAAAGAACCACTGCATACGAGTCCTGTTTAAATCATTTTCAAGCATAAACTAAGGCTAAAGAGAAATATGGGACTCTAGTTTTGTGGAATTTAGAATCTAAGTGAGGAAGATAGAACATTTCACTGAAGATCAATTGCATATAAGATAGTATATACTGTGATTCACATTTTTTGTAATTTCTCAGTCACTAGAGCTCTCATCCTAAGAAACTTAGAAAGATTAAAAACCAGTTCAAAAGCCACTGGTTTGGGATTCAAACCCAGAAGCAAATCCCATCTGTTTCCCAGAAGGCAGGCTGCTTATCTGAGATGGTCTGTTCTCTGCTGGCAAAAACAAACAGACAAACAAATAGCAAAGACAAACACTCAAACAACAGAGACAAGGAAAAGAAAACCAGAAACTTTGCAAATACTAGCAGGGAAGAAAAAGCATACATACACACAAAGAAAAAATCATACACACACACATACACACACACACACACACACACACACACACACACACACACAAACCCCCCCAAAAAAAAAAAACATGACAAAACAAAACAAAAACCCAGAAAAAAACAAGAGAGAAAGAAAGAGTATAGTTTACCCATGACCAGAGGAAAAGAAGTGTCAAAAAAAAAGTGCTAAAATTTATTTGTGGGGCTTTCTTATCTAAGAATTAAGGAAGAAAGTGGGTATGTTTTGATCAGAGATTGTGAATTTACTGGACACATTAATTACAAGGAAAAATATCATTTAGGATTATCAGATTCACCCCCACAGATTATACACATGAGCTGTTTAGATTAACTTCTGCTATAAATGCTGATATTTTCCTTACCATGTATAGCATATTAGTGGCTCTTGGGTTCACCTCTGATCGGAACTTGTTATGCATTCGAACACAGTCTCGGATGAAATCTTCATTTTCGATATCTGGCAAAGTATTTGCTGTATATGAATAACTAGACACAAAAGAAATCATCCAGGCCATGGTAACCAGAGTGACCCGCATGCTCAGTGTTTCTGGCATGGAGCCCCCGTGGCGGGTGGGTGCTGGAATCCAGCCCCACAGGGTTCAGAGTCTGTGTCTGCACTCCTGGTTTTCAGCTGGCAGCTTCACAAAGCATAGCAGACTTCAGTTTGAAAGAACGGGAAGCTGAGTTCATCACAGGTTTTAAGAAATGGGTTTCTCCATATATGGCTTGCAGCTCATTTTGCGGTCTTAACCCTGTCTTTTCAGTGGTTCTCAGTGACACAGCACCTATTACAACATAGATTTTTAAGAGGTTGCACAAGACTTTCTTTTGAGTTAAAATATTTTGAAAAAAATTCTAAAGACTCCAGAAATAAGTCAAGTTTTTTAAAAAATAATGTAGATTGCGATTAATAAACCTTAAATAAAAACATATCTCTAGCTTCCATAAATGACTGGCAAAATTTTTTTAAATCCCTTTTAAATACATATAAGCAAACAGTTGTGGAACTATAGTAGTCTTTCCTTATCTGAGTCACTCCTAAACAATGGAAAGCACCGAGCCTTATATGTAATGTTGTTTTCCTAAATACATGTAAGTGTGGTAAAGTTTATAAATTAGGTAAAGAAAGCGATTAATACTAAAATAGAACAATTATGACAATATACTGTAATAAAATGAAAGTATCATTACTATTGGGCTTTGAGACTATTAGTAACACAAGGATTACTTGGTCATAAGCATTGTTACAGCATGAGTCACTTTGGTAACTGAGACAGCTGCTACATGATGAATAGACGTGTTTACTCCAGACAGATGGATGATTTACTTCTTGAGGTAGGATGGTGCTTAGTTCTAGAATTTTCTGTTTAATGTTTTTTGTGCTGTGATTAACCATGGGTAACTGAAACTATAAAAAGTAAGACCATGGACAAGGGGGACTGGCGTATCTGATTGGTATAACTTGATCTGAAATTCAGCCATAGAGATGCGTGTGTGTGTGTGTGTGTGCGCGCGCGTGTGTGCATGCACATGCATGTGTGCATATACATGCATGCTTAGAAAGGAGGGGAGAAGAGTGGAAAGAATACTGGTCTCAAGCTCAAATTTTTGTGGACGTTCAGTTCCTAAATAGCTATGAGACCTAGAATAAGTTACTGAATTCTCATAGCCCCAGATGCCTACTAAATCACTGAACATGGAGATTTTTCTGTTCCCTTGACCACAGAGGTCTGATTAAATGAATTAGATGATACTATATTAATTTGACACACATTAAAATCTTGCTCAGTGTATCCAGCTTAGTAAACACAGTTAAAACTACAGTCACTGCCCTGAAGGAGCACACAGTGATAGGAGCTGTGGACAATGACAAGGGTGGTCGCAGTGGAGGCTATTAAAGCTCTGGTAGAGGAATGCGATAGGAAAGGATGCATGACCGTCCTGGAAAGGGCGGAGGGGCCTCCTGTGTGAATCAAGTGAGGTGTTTTGCAGAAACTAGAACCACACAGGCTATGACTGAGTGAAAAGGGGCTGATGAGATAACTGGAGTCAGGATACCTAGACAGGAAGTTGGAAGCATGATGTTTTGGAAAGAATGGAAGAAGGGTGGAAGAACAGAACGGCAGAGTCCGAGGCTGGAGGTCTGAACCTGCGCATCCCAACAAGGAAACTCTGGCCATGTGTCTCAAAAATCAAATAAAATAATATTAAATTTAAAAAATTAAAAAAGAGAGCAAATGGAGAAATTATGAAAGAGAAAAGGAACTTTCATCAGCCTCGCTCCTTTGGGAAGATAAGGGGGACTAGGACTGAGCTTTAAGTTTAGAGGAAAAAGTAGAGTGTGGGGGAACGAGAAGTATGCGGGCTTTTTTTGTTCTGCCAGGTGGCTCTGGGGAAATCCTGACTGTTTGAGGTAATCTAGTTTGCATGAGATGATTATTTTTGCTTAAGCAGACGGGGGACGGCATCATTTTCAGTCATGGGGTAATTACTGCTAATTAGGCAGAAGTTTTCATCACGGGGTGGTTTGTCTGTGAGGCTCTGCTATCCAAGGTTTAGAGCAGTGACCGAGATATTCTAGGTACCGGTTCAGGTTCTCTGGAACAGGATGTTGTAAAAGCTAGCAAATGAATTTTCCCACAAATCTTGAAAATACCTTACTTAGTCTTATTTTGGTGTCCTGAATCTTGAAGGGAGAATGAGATAGGTTAGGTGAAGTTAGGGCTACAATAAGTTTTTCAACAGACATTCTGTAAGTGACTGATGAGCCTGTGTGAAGAGCTGTACGGGTCTCTAACCCCAAAATTAAAGCACTAAAGGAGACAGATTGAAGATTAAGGGAGAGGTCAGCTTTATCCTGCTTTTAGCTCCCCGCGGGGCATCTGCAGTCCCAAGTGAGGAATCAGTGCCTTTCTCCTCCCAAAGACAGTCTTTAATTCTGTTATATGTTGTTGTTCTCTAAAATATGGTCTTTTAAATATTGACTCTGGCTAATAGAATATGATACTGCTTTCTCTTGGAGTATAGAGTAGAAATGATACTTTCCTAGGGAGAGAGATAAGAGTCAGGGCAAGAGATTTACCAGATTTTGCCAACTGTTTGGATTTTATCACAAAGGTGATAGAGGCCACAGGAGGATTTTAGCTGTTGATGAATTTGATTTGGCTTCAGAAAGCATCTGGAATTTTTAGAAAATCAAGAAATATGAGAATGGAATGGGATGGGGAAAATTCATATGAAAATCTCTAGAAAAAAATGTTAGAGATCCTAGACTCTAACTAAAGACTTTTATAGCTAATAAGAGAATTCAGAAAAATAGTAGGATATAAAAACAATATCAAAAAATAAATTATTTTTCCATATGTCAATAATGAACTAACTGAGAAAGAAATGAGGGAATCAATTCTACCCACAACTTCAAAAACAAACATAGGTATCAGCCTAACCAAGGAGCTGAAAAACTTCTATGTGAATTTCAAAACACTGAAGAAAGAAATTGAAGACTACAGAAGATGGAAAGGCCTCCTGTGTTCATGGATCAGTAAGATTAACATTGTTAAAGTGACTGTATCTATACAATTCAATTCAATTCAATCAGTGCATGGCAAATGAACTGCATACTTCTCAAAAGAAGTACAAATGGGCGGTAAGTATATATGTTCAACATCTCCAGCCATTAGGGAAATGCAAATCAAAAATACACTGAGATTCCTTCTCACGGCAGTCAGAATGGTATCAATAACCTGAACCATACTTCTAAGGTAACAATATGCAATATATTAACAAGTGTTAATTTCCTACTATTTTTCTGAACTTCTGTATCTTTTCTAGCCTTTTTTTCTGGTTTGCTTTTTAAAATAAAAGAAATACAGAAAACAGTAAGTGCTGGTGAGGATGTAGGATGAGGGAAAGGAGGCAGTCTACACTACTGGGGGGAATATAAACACAGCCACTATATAAATCAATATGGATGTTCCTAAAAATAGATTTACCACAATACTCAGCTATAACACTCTATGGTATATACATGAAATAATTAAAATAAGCACACTTTGGGGATACCTGTGTCTCTGTGGCACAATTCACAATGGCTAAGACAGGGAACCTCCCTACAGAGGAATAGAAAAAGAAAATGTGTTTCATAAAAGTATTTCCAATAGAGTATTATGCCATAATAAAGAACAAAATTATTTCATTTGCAAGGAAAATGGATGGAACTAGGTATCATCATGTTAAATAAAAAAAAAAGACTCTGAAAGACAAGTATCACATGTAGAACGTAAAACAGAAGATACAAATGTAGAAGAAAAATTATAATTAGATTAAAAAAGATAATAATAGGGAGGGGTGGGAGGGATATAAAGGAGCATAACGGGGGATAGAAAATAGTTAGTAGTGACTATTACAGCAGAAAACAGTTACTAGTTATCAGGCCACAGCAGTATATGTGCAACCATGTTTATAGCAGCACAATTTATAATAGCTAAATGTTGGAAACCACCCAAATGCCCATCAACCACAGAACGGGTTAAAAAGATGTGATATTTTTATATAATGGAGTACTACTCAGCTACAAAGAAGGATAAACTCAAGTTTTTTTATAGGTAAATGGATGTAACTTAAAACCATACTCAGAAGTGAAATAAATCAGACTTGCATGTGTAAACATTGTATTGTTTTTCTAGTGTTAAAAAAAACTGAAAGAGTAAATAAGATCCAAAATGTAAAGTAGATATTGTGGAAGTGAAAGGAGATTAATCTGCTCAAAAGGAGAAATCAGTTGGGATGGAGGAAAGAAGGAAAAAAGAGAGGAGAAAAGATTATATGTGTGTGTGTGTGTGTGTGTGTATATATATATATATTTATATATATGTATTTGTATGTATATATATATACACACATGATAGATAATTATCTCTGTTAATTCATCAAAAAGACTATTTTTTCTTTCATTGTTTCATCTTTTTTCATACCTATAGCTAGCAATCAGAGCAAGTACTTTGAAGATAACAATATACAATATATTAACCATCGTTAATCTCCAAAAAAGAGATTACAATATTGACATGAATTTATTTAATTTAGTGAAAAGGCATCCATTCCATTCTTTTAAGTGAAACAAGGAGTTACAAAACACTAATACTTGCATTAACAATATTTTGTTTTCAAAATGCTTTAATATATAGAGATAAATGAAGAATAATGTTCCCTTAACTATTTTCATACATGTCTGGGAATGAGATATGGAGTATATTTTTAGGAGTATGTTCTGACCTTTGCTATTATACAATGGTTGTAAACTGAAGAAATTAAGAATTCTATAAGTATGTGGGGTGAAACATTTTACAATATGTATGTATCTCAAAACATGACTTGTATACCTTAAACCTATATGGTTTTGTTAATTATAGCCAATTTCAAAAGGAAAGAAATGGTGCAGAAATTTAAGGTAGAATTACTGTTGCTACATATACAAATAACTTACAAAACAGGTATGTCTAATTCCCAGTATTGTTTAGGCTGCTCCGTTTCAACTAACAGTCCTTTCCTTCAGGATACTGACTAGGACGAGCATCTTCTAATCTGAGCTCAGGGGCAACTTTTTGCTCACTATAGTGATGCCTTCCTCTAGCTTGAACTGGTGGCCAAGTCTAGAGTCTGCTTCCCATCTTCTTCGGGGTTTCTGTGAGTTAGATCAGGGTACTGAACGCAAGAACACAAGAAATGAGATCTCACATGCAAGCAAATTCAATGACATCTGTG